TCTGTTATTTTCTTTTTTATCTCCGATTCTGTGAGGAATTATAATGTGACCCTCAGCCAAAAGTGGTTTGCATTTCAATCCTACACAACATATTTTTTTCCCGGAATTTTTTGAGTTTTTTTTTTTTTTTTTTTCGGCGCTGGGGCTGCCCGGAACCCTGCCCGGGGGTCATGCCCGGCCGGGCACCCGGGCGTGTACCCGGGCAGAAGTTGGGTGCCCGGGCGCCCGGGAAAACAGCCTAGGGAAAAATAAGAAAAAAAAAAGAGGAACGACACACCAACCACGAAACAAAAAGAAAAGCAAAAACGAAAATCGGGAAACGACAGGCCAAAAACGAAAATGCTAAAAGAAAAAAAGGTCGCCCGCTTATCGACGGCAGCGGCTTCAAGATATTCCTTCACATCTACATCCGCCGCCCGGCCCCGTGGGCGCGCTCACTCGTTTAATGGCGCACTGTGAACATTTCGGTACGCGCGCCCCTCTGCACACTCCCCCGCCCTGGATCGCCTTCATCTGCCAGCCCTCCTCAAAACTTCGACCCCAAATCCGGCGCGCAGCGGACCATCGACCTCCCCCCCGCGGCCAATGCTGCTTAAGGGGTAGGATTATATATTTTCCAAAAATTAAATAAAAAATAAAGTTGAAACTTGAAACTTGAAAAACAAACTTTTTTCTTTTTTTTTAATTTGTTTTTGGCCCGGCCTGGCAAGTGGTCCCGGGTTACTCTGGTAGCCTAAATTAATTCAAAATTCAAATTATTTGCTTCAGCTATCGCCATCTGAGCTCATCTTCTTGTTCTCGGTTTGCTGTTAACCTGAACCCCTAACCCCCCCCCCCCCCCCCCCCCCCCCCCCCCCCCCCCCCCCCCCAACCCCCCCGCCAAATTTTGTTTGCTCTGATGCGAAGATCTAAAAGTCATACTTGCATCCAGACATGTGCATATTGCGCGTATGTCCCGCAGTGCAGGGTCAAGTAAAGAAAAACAAGGTGTGATACACATTACTACAAAACACACACAAAGAAAAAAAGCAGAAAATTCTAAAAAAGCCAGTGCTGGGCCGGCAACCGGCCGGTTGAGCTACCCCGGTCCAACCGGAGCCGGACCAGGCCCGGGGGGGTGAACAGGGAAACCGGTTTTGAAAAAAAAGTGCCCAAATATCTTCTTTTTTTTTTTCCGGCAGATCCCGACTGCGCTCTTCAAGAGCTGTCGGAATCCGTAATAAAATTTTCAAGGTGCAATATTTTTCAGGGGGCTTCCAGAGGGGGTCAGGGGGTTAATATTGACATATTCAGGCAACTATGGCTTCCACGGGGAGGGGTCAAGTAAGCAAGTTCACTTATCCAACCCCCCCCGTGGCAGGAGCACTTCGTGGAGTGTGTCATTTTATATTGATACCCCACGAGCTGAACCAGATACAATGAGAGGAGGTCCTTGCCAGAAGTTATAGCTCTTCCAGAGTATAACTCGACAACAGAAGGGTTATGGTTCCAGCTTTCAGCTCGTGGAGGCAGAGCGTTTTCTGTTTGTTGGTTTCTACATAAGGTGAGTTATCAGTCCGGAAGTATCTTGCCTGCCAGTCTGTCCAGATACATGTAGTGGAGCAAGGTCCATTCGAGATAAGAATATAGCTTTTTCCACAGATGTTTCCACAGATGGCAGGGACGTTGCAGAAGGATATAATCTCAGCAGAGCCTCATCACAAGCATAGTGTTCCCCTCGTGGCTGGAGGGTGAAAGAGCATCAGATGTTGCCAATGGTAACTGGTCCGTTGGACCACAAGATGACAAATTGGAGAAGGGGCCTACCCGACCCACATCTTAAGACAAATGTGTGGCGGTTCTCCGCCGCTGATCGGATATCCTCTGCCCGTTTTTCTTAAGAAATGGGGTCCTGGCCGATCTTTGCCCCTGATCTGCGATGATCGGCGGCCAAGATTGGCCACTTTTTGGCCTTGAAAAATCCGGGCCTACAGGACCCGGTTTCAAAATTGCAGGGCAGGGCCCACCCCCACAAGGCCTTGGGAGCACATACGCGCCGGCAAAAAGAAAAATTCAGGCCCCAGCGAAAATGCGCTGGGGGCAACCGGGAGGGAACCGGCCCGGGATGGGGTAGGGGTCCCCGGTCCATCCGGGGACCAGCCCTGAAAAAAGCAGAAAAACTTTTAAAAAGCTGTTTCTGAATTTTGATTCACTTTTTTCAACTTCCGAGAGTGCGATTTGGAGGAAGATTTGAAGATTTCAGAGAATACGATTTTAAGGATGCTTGTCGGCCAAAACTTGCTTAGAAAGTTAGAATAACATTTTAAGAATAACATTTTTGTACTGATTTACTGATTTACTGGTTTACATGATTAGTAATTTAGTATTGATTACATCACTTTTTTTTTGGGGGGGGGTGGGGTGGGGGTGGGGGGGGGGAATCAATGCTTCAGTTTTTCAGACTTTTTCTTTTCTTGCAATTTTTTCTTTATGTGTGTGTGTTTTGCGCATGTGCAGTGTGGCACATGCATTGGACATGTGTGGCACGGCATTTGCATCGTGCTAGGGGGGGGTTTCAATGCTTCAGC